GGGGGGGGCAGACGGTCATCATCGACAACAAGGTTCAGAAGGACAACAGCAGCCACGAGCCGCCCATGCCGTTCGGCCTGTTTGACACCTTCGGTATCTGATGAGGACCCTGCGATTAGCTCTCTCTTGCATGCCTCTTGCCAGCGTTCACTTGCCCAGCGGGCTCGCTGTGCCATTTCTTCCTCCTCCCCCTCTTCTCCTCCTCCTCTATCCTGTTCCTCCTCCTTCCCCCCCTCCTCAGCCTACTGGTACCACTTTGCCATCGTCCTTCTCTTCCCCCTCCGCGCCCCAGATTTCGTAATGAAAGGGAGGGGGCCTGGACCCTCGAAGACAATCCATTTCAGACCTCCCCCATGGGAGAACCCTCCAAGACATCGTCCCCAGACCACCCAGGCCCTCCAAGATAGCCTGGAAGAGACCCCCCCCCGAAATGAGAACCCCCTCACTTTATTACGAAATCTGGAGTACCCTTCCCCCCCCCCCCACCCCACACACTGCTTTCAAGACGCCCGCTCCCGTTGTGCAGATTACCGCTGCTACTGCGCAATCGCTTCTCCTCCCCAGCCCCGACCTACCCGACATTCTCGCCTCGCCCACCCCCTACCTCTGGTAGCCGCCCCATATCTCTGCTCATCGCCCCTGCTTTTCTGCGCAATTCCTTGGCCACCATGCCCTCCGCCTCTCCGCCTCGGCGACGCCGAAGTGATCATCGAAGCCCCGTTCAGATCTATCGCCCCGTCACCCCCTTAAATGATACTGGGGGGCGGCGTCGCTCCGACAGGAACCTCGAATGGGCGAACATGTCGTTGTCGTGGCCTCGGGGGGGCAGGTCGCGGCTCTCGCCCCCGCTCTCTCTCGATGGTCGTCTCTACTTACCTCATCTCCATCCTCATCGTCCGCCCTCCTTTACTTCCATTATCGCAATATCACCGCTCCGCTTGATCACGCCACTCCCCCTTACCCCCAACAGCGCATTGTGTTCTACCGCAGCCGTTTTGGCTTGGGGCGCCTCGCATGCCAGGCTGCCTGCGCAAGTCTTTCTCTGCGCCGAACCCGAGACTGTTCTGGGCCAGCCCAATCGGCAGGAGTTTGCTGCCGAAGAAGGGCGCGACGCGCTCGATGGCATCGCAGCCGGCAGACGCGGCCACATTGCCAGAGTCAGGCGTGCCAGACTTCCCGAGGGCGGAGGGCGCAGCCGCGGCGGAGACGCTCTTGGAGGCGAGGGAGGCACGCATCAGCACGCAGCGAGCTGGGCGCGAGCAGCAGAGATCGCAGGACGCTGGCACGCTGGAGCCAGCGGTGGCGCAGCATATGAAGGACGAGGAGGAGAGCAGCGACGAGGAGGACGAACGCCAGGAGGAGCGACCCGATTGTGACGGCGAAGACGGCGACGACAAGGGCATGCGCGACAAGGGCATGCCTCCTGCAGAGCACGACGAACAGGAGGATCAGCCATCTCCAACGGATTCAGCGCCAGAGACTGTGGCAGGCAATCCGCGTGAGCTGGGTGAACATCCTGGCGCTGACAACGACGACGACGCGGGCGACGGCGAGATCCCAGCTGGACAACCTGAGCCCGCAGACGAGGACATGGAGAAGGCAATGAGGGAGAGCCAGGCGGAATTCGACATCGCGCTGCAGCAGAAGCGCAAGGAGCTCGAAGACATCGAGGCCGCGATCGCGCGCAGCAAGGAGACCTACACGCAGAGCCGCGGCCGCTCGCCTTCGCCAATTGGCTTGTGCAGCGGTGCGTCGTCCAGCAGGATCGGCGCCCCGGCTGACGTTCAGGCCCACAAGGGAAGTAAACGTCTTACCCGAGCCCAAACAGTTTAGTCTTAGAAGCCCCACCCTCCCTTCCTCCGCCTCCTCCTCCTCGTCCCTGCTCCTCCCTCCTCCTCCTCCATCCTCCTCCCTCCTCCCTTATCCTCCTCCGTCCTTGCCGCGCCTCCTCCCCCCTCCCTCCTCATTCCTCCCTCCCTCATCCTTCTCTGCCTCATCCTTCTACTCCTCCTCCGTCTCCCCCCCAATTGCCCCGAACATTATCGCGCGCGCTTCCCCCGTGGAGAGGCTGGCCCGCGCAGACGCAAGCCGCCGCCCGCCGAGCAGCCAGTGGAGCCGCCCAGGCAGCGGCGCAGGGTTGAGGCAGAGGCGCCTGCGGCGCGTGCCACCAGCGCTCCTGCAGCGCCGAGAGCGGAACAACGAGGGCTGAACATCACCCAAGACCCCACCCCGAGGAAAGATGAAGGAAGGGGGGGGAAGGAGTGACGGAGGGAGAACGAAGGAGGAAAGAAGGCGGTAAGAAGGAGGGAGGACTGAGACAAAAAGGAGGGATGGCGGAGGCGGGACGGAGGAAGGACACAGAGGGGCGCGGAGAGCACCTGGTCAGTCGTCCCCGCAGGATTGCTACGACAGCGATCCCCCGCCAAGACCGTTTGTGTATTCAGATAAACACTTGTACTATAGTCCATGGCAAGGACCTCTGAATACTCGCCATGGGAGGAGATATATACAGATGGCGAAACGTGATTTCATTATCAAGTACGCCTTGTGGAATGAGCGCCAGGAGCCCCAGGCGCTCCTGGCGAACAAATAGTCCTGTCTCTTGTCGTCGCGTCTTCGTGATCCTGGTCGTGGTTTAATTGTCGTCGTTCAGATCGCCGTCGGAACAACGGCCGTCAACGTCGTCAGCGTCGGCGTCAGAGAAGCAGTTCGGGGGCAGCCTGGCTCGGGCACTCGTCGTAGCATCTGATGTCGCTCACCCCCTGAGCGCGGGCAGGGCGGGGAGGAGGAGGAGACGCAGGAGGAGTAGGAGGAGGGGCAGGGGGAAGAGGAGGAGGGCGAGGAGGAGGAGTAGGACTAGGAGTAGGAGGAGGAGGACGAGGAAGAGGAGGAGTATGATGGCGAAACTGCGCGGTCCGCAGGCAGCCGTCAACATCGCCGAGCAGGAGATCACGCAGAGCCCAGTGACTCCGCAGGTTGCGGTGCAGACTCGCGGGGCGCAGCACGCAAGTGCAACGGACTCCGACGACGCGCCGCTCATCCGCAAGGCTGGCGAGGATGTCACGCCGCCGAAGATCACCAAGAGGGCGGACGCCATGCAGAAGGCATTCGAGGACTTACCCTCCTTGATCTCTCTCGGGCCAACCCTTCTGCTCCTCATCCTCTTGTAACTCCTCCTCCACCTCATCCTCTTCGCCACCGCATTCCTTGTTCCTTATCCGCTTTCCCGTCTCCCTCCTGGTGGCCCCCCCAACCGATCCACCTCCACCTCCTCCTCCTCGTCCCCTCCCCTGCCCCCCCTCCCCTCCCATTCCTCCCTCTCCTCCATTCCCACTCTCTCTCTCACACTCTCTCTCTTTCTCTTTCTCTCTCTTTGTCCTCCTCCGTCGTCCTCCTACTCCCGCTCCAGCTCGGAGGACGTGATCAAGCAGCCGGGCAAGCTGACGGATGACCAGGAGCTGGAGCTCACAGAGAGGTTGGCGCAGGCCTTTCAATCGGGCTCCTTCGACGGCATCCTTGAGGCGAAGGGATGGAGCCGCCAGAGCGCGGCCAAATGGCCGACCAATCCCGAGGAGTTCGGCCCATCGCTTCTCGGGAACACGAGCAACTCGGCGGAGTTCGACTTCTGGGACACCCTCCGCAAGGAGTCGAACTTCAAGTTCGGCTTGGATGGCGGGAAGGGCAACCCCGCCGCGGGGCGCTGGCAAAGAGCCTTGGACGAGGAGAAGGACAAGGACGGCAGGACGCTGCGCGAGCGGTGCAACGCCGTCACTGGCCACGCCAAGAAGCAGGCGTTCCGCACGGAGTGGGCCAAGACGAAGCACCTCGAGGCGAAGACGGAGTACTCGCTCATCGTCTCGGAGACCAGGGAGATGTGGAAGAAGTCCACCTACCTCCCGATCGGGCGCATCGCCCACTTGGAGGGCGGTGGCAAAGCGGGCTGGCTGCAGGCGCGTAGTTCCTCCCCCTCATCCGCTTCGTCCTCCTGGTCCTCCTCATCCTCCTCCTTTTCCTCCTCCTTGTTCTCCTCCTCCTTGAGAGGCTAGCAAATACGTATGGAAGACGATGTTCATGGGCCCGCCGTGGATCGTGTACGACGAGATGACGGAGAGTCTGAGGTCGCTCTACGTGGAGCAGGGCTTGACAGAGACGTTCTCCGAGTGCTGGCAGAAGCACGCGCGTTGGCTCGAGAACCTGGAGGATAGCCCTAGAGTAAACTGGCTAGATGAGGACACCCAGGAGGGCCAAGAAATGGCAAGGAGGAGGAGGAGGAGGAGGAGGAGGAGGAGGAGGAGGAGGGAGGGAGGAGAAAGCAGGATAATCAGGGAGCAGGAAGAGGAGGATGAGGACACTTAGCAGGAGTAGGAATAGCAACACGAGGGCAAGGGCGAGGAGGAGATGGAGGGGATGAAAAAGAGGAGGACGAACATGAAAACGATGCGGGGAAGCGGAGGAGGAGGAGGAGGAGGAGGAGGAGAAGGAGGAGGAGAAGGAGGCAGAGAAACAGGAGGACGCCGAATGGAGCGGAGGAGGAGGAAGATGATGGGAGAGGAGGAGGGCGAGGGGGAAGTGGAGGATGCCCGCCGCAGGAGCCTCGCACCGCCCTGGCGCCCAGCGTCACGAAGGCGGTCGCGGAGGGGTCCGCGGCCTCCAGCGGGGCGGGCGCTGGCCAGGGCAAGGCTTCTCTTCCTCTGCCTCCCCCTCCTCCTCCTCCTCCTCCACCTCCTCCTCCTCCTCCTCTTCTCCTCCTATCCCGCCTGCACTTCCTCATCTTCCCCATCTTCCTCCCTCGTCGACCCTGCACCTCCTTATCTTTCTCCATTGCACCTTAATCGCGTTCCTCCTATGTCAAACCTTCTATCCTCATATGCCATCCCCCTTATCCTGCTAGCTCTGTGTACCAACCTCCTCATCGTATATGTCCTTCCTCCTCCTTCTCCTCCGCCCCCACCTCCTCCTCATCCTCCTGATAATGTGTTATCGGCCGTTCTTTTTTTCAGGCTGCAGCCCCAGCGGCGCCAGCTGCGGCGGAGACCTCCGAGGAGGCTGGCGGCGCGGCGCCTGCGGCCGCAGGGAGGGCTGCTGGCGCGGCGCCAGCGGCAGCAAGGAGGGCTGCTGGCGCAAAGGAGGCCGCAGGGAGGGCTGCTGGCGCGAAGGCTGCTGCCGGAGGCGGCGGAGACAAGGAGAAGAGCGATATCGACAAGAAGATCGTCGAGACGAAGAAGGTCATCGCGCTGTACAATGCCGCCCTGACCAACTCACGCTCGGTGCTGACGAACATTGAGAAGGATCCAGATTGGTCCTGGGCGAAGGAGTCCAACCAGAAGGCGCCGCTCATTGACGCGATCGCTCTTCTCGAGGACAAGGTCTACGCCGACTGCAACGTCTCCAAGGTGCTCACGACTAGCCTGCCGAAGCTCCGCGTCGTGACCAACAACGACTTGCGCTTCGCAGGCTTCCTGGAGCAGGCGTGCAAGCTGCAGCAGTACATGGAGAAGGTGAACGAGGAGACCAGCTGCCTGCTGGGATTCCACGAGGTGAAGCGCAAGGCGGCCATCGCCAAGACGGCCTCAGGTTCGGACGTGGCTCCGAAGAAGAAGAAAGCCAGGAAGCAGACAGGCTCTGGCTAGTGAGTGATGTCATCAGCAGTGCTTCGTAATAATTCGGGCTTGGTGAATGAGGTCAATTCTCATTCTGACCTTCTCAGCCCAGCTGGCTAGAGCGCGTGAGAACATTCGTTTGCTCAAGGGCACAGTAATCCAACAATTATTTGTATGAAATCAACTTTTTGGCGTTTTGATCACACAATCACTCTGGTTTCCAACAAAAAACACCTACAATCACATATGTACCGCTTAAAAATCAAGCCGGACCGGCTCGACCC